CCAGTGCGAAGTTTGCCTTCCCAGGCGCGCGTCGAGTTTCACAACGCTGGAAGAAAACTGGCCAGAAAACGCCGTGCCAAACCATGCGAAACGCCGCTTGCAGAAAGAAGGGTGCCTTCCAGCTGTCAGCTGGCTTATGTTAAACTATATTGTAATAGTTAACTATCTATCTATCTGTTTATATATCTGTCTATCTATCTATTTATCTATCTATCTACCTACCTATCAATAAAATTTATCTATCTACTTATTTATATGTATTTAGTTATCTATATATATATATATATGTATCTATCTATCTATCTATCTATCTTTCTTCTATCTATCTATCTATCTATCTATCTATCTATCCATCCATCTATCTATCTATCTATCTATCTCTCTCTCTCTCTCTCTATCGATCTATCTATCTATCTCTATCTATATCTATCTATCTCTATTTATCTCTATCTAGCCTTCTATCTCGCTATCTCTCTATCTATCGATCTATCGACCTATCTATCTCTCTCTCTCTCTACCTACTGTATATCTATCTATCTCTATTTATCTCTATCTATCTTTCTATCTCGCTATCTCTCCATCTATCGATCTATCTATCTATATCGATCGATCTATCGATCTATCTATCTTTAGTAATTAAGCCTTCTTGTGTAGTTGGCCTCCCGGTGACATGGACCCTGTCATTCCATGGGCCATTGTGTCTATGGTTGAGGGGAAGGTATCTGCCGAATCAATCTCAGGTTTTTCTAGCAGCTCTTTACTGCCTTTAGCGAGTTCAATCAAGAACTGACTCAAAGCCCGCACTTGGAATGATCTGGTGCCCCTATAATGATGAGTCCTAATGAGTCTTAATGCTCCCGACTGGATGCATGTGTATTCCAATCCCATGGTTTCACGCTATGGGTTCATGCACGAAGCTTTTCAGGCTAAACTACGAGGGGGTCCCACCAAGAGACCCCCAGAGACCCCCAGAGTGCGCAGCGAAGTGGCATCGAATGACAGTTTTTTCTTAGAGAAAAAATGTGATGACGGCCTTTCACTCACAAATCTTGAGCACTCACACATCAGGATCTGAGTTCCACGGATCTTACCCATATCAGGATCTGTCCTAAAAACTGGATTGCACACAAAAGATGTAAGCACAAAATGCGAAAAACAAATCACATGTTCTTAATTTCAACCACGGGGGATAAAGGTGTTTTCCGAAGTTTTCTACATACAAGTCAAATCAATTTCAATTCAAACCCTCCGCTGGACTTGCGCTGCACACGACAGCACCAATGCATCAAGGGGACGCCTGCAAACGTTCGAGGTCGATCGCGACTTGATGGGTGATATGTGCAGGAGATCTAATAACCGGCAAGCAGGCTCCGCAAACTATAGGAACATAGGAATTTAATATGATTTGATTTAACAGTCAAAAAGGGTTGATCATGGTTTCCGAACAGGGTAGAAACAGAATAGAAGAAGCGACTACTACAGTATGCACGTACAATTACCCGCGAAACATCTATCTATTCTCAGCGGTGAAATCCCAAGGGTTCATCATTTGTTTCTGCATAAATCCCAAGTTGTTTTGCTTCAACAACCCAACCCACCAAGGAGTCCCTCGAAGATATGTCCAGTCGTACTGATGAAAAAAAAATTCAAGGCAAACCACCTATGCTTCACCAAATTTTACTATCAAATTGTTGGCAAAAAATATAGTTACAGTATTCGATGTTATTCCATTATATTAATTATATCCCTATGATATACTCATTATATCACAGTTAGCCAACTTATTTGTCACCACCATTTCTCCATTCCTGTACTGAAAAACAAAAACAACTTCCTGCTGTATGGTCCAACTAACAGTTACAAATGGAGTGGAATAATTCCTATAACTAAGGTTATTTATCAGTATAAACACATTTATAGCTGTTTTGGGCCATAACTATCAGCGGCCATTTCAGGACCCTAAAATAGAGGTACAGTCTGATATTTTTGACCACATATTCTGTGGATATTCCCTGATATTGAGTTAAAACATAGGCCTTATATTTATATATGTATATATATATATATATAGGTACCTCCAATAGATCGGTTCCTGAAATGGCCATTGATACTATGCACCATCCGATCTTCGACGCCTAATCACTGCCACCACTACCGCTTCCATCGCTGTCGCCGCCCAGGTTGGACAAAATGGTGCTGCTCCCGCTCTCCTGCGCCAAGGTTGCGCATTCTCCAGAACATCCCCAGGTCACAAGCTGTTTCATGGGAAATGACACCTACCTATATATTATGTATATATATATAAATTGTGATTTTTCCATTTTAACTTCAACTCCAGGTCCAACTTGATCAAAACCATGTGCTTCCAAAGGCACCTTGGCTCGAGGCGAGCCAGTGGAGGGTTGGGCAGAGGTAACGTGCCCTGTGAGCCATTTGCCTGCGTGTGACAGGGTCACACTCCTTGGATCAGGGAATCCTTGTGCTTGGCTATCCAGCCTTTCTGTTTTGCCTGGCGTGGACATCCATCATAGACCTCCTGCGACATCTGGGAAAAGGGGCAGCCGACCGTTTTTCCTGTGACTGACAGATTGGTTTGAAACATTCGAGACATCAGCAGCTTTCATCCTTTTCCATTGATTTCAGGTTCACTGACTCCTAGTGTGCTGCCAATCATACTGGTAGCGGAGCCCCGAAAGGGGCATCCGGGGCAACTATGACGACTGAATCTGGTGGTGGATCCAATGGAGTTAGCAATCAACTATCTTCACTGGTACCTGGTTTTGATCCGGCAGTTGATGACATGTTGGTATACCAGCAAAAGGTGGAGTTGGTTTTGGCCGCATGGCCACCTACGAAACTGAAAGAATTAGTCACCAGACTAATCCTAAACACCAAAGGGACGGCCTTTCAGAAACTGCAGATACATCAGACTGAACTACTCACAGGAGAGGAAGCTTCAATTCACAAACTGGTCGAACTGCTGGGTGGTCAATGGGGAAGAATCCCGCTTGAGCGCCAATATGAAGACGCTGAACAGGCGATTTACCACACCTTGCAGAAAACAGACGAAACAAACGATTCGTTTCTGGCCAGGGCAGACATCCTGTGGAGCAGATTGCTTGCCCGAAAAATCACCATAGCTGACTTGCAAGCATACATAGTGTTGCGAGGGTCACAGCTGTCGGCCGACGAGAAGAAGAAGGTGATCATGGACAGTGAGACCACAGGAAGTCTGACAATGAAAAAGGTGAGCGAGGCCATCAGGCTGTTGGGTGCATCGTTTTTTCAGGACATGACTGGGAAAAAGGTAGGTCGATCAAAGGTATATGACCAAGCCGCACTGGTTAGTGATTCTGTTGACGAGCCTGGCAGCCACCTCTCAGAGGACCCGACACTCACAGCCCTTGATGAAGGGATGGAAACTGAATTTCTGGACAGCATGATTCAGGAAGGAGACCAAGATGCGATCCTTATAGCCGACTTCGAAGCAGCTGCCATGGATTTGATTCAAGAGGATTCAGATTTAGCTGTGGCACTGACGGCATATCAGCAGGCGCGCCACAAGCTTGCAGAGAAGTTCAGGAATCGAGGTTTCTTCCCATCACGCCCTTTTGGCGGTGGTGGCAAAGGAAAGGGGTTTGGTCAGAAGTTTGGTGGCAAGGGGAAATCCTCTTTCTACCCGCAGCAGCAAAGAAGGTCCCTTCAAGATCGTATCTTGAACAGTTCGTGTAGAATATGTGGCCAAAAGGGCCATTGGAAAGCCGAGTGTCCCATGAAGTCGAACGTCCAGTCCACCACAACGTCAAGTGCAGCTCCGACTACAACTCTAGTCACCGAAGCTGGAGTTGACAGCCTGCCTCTGGAATTCCTTGGATTGCCAGAGACGAATGTGGACGAGCCTCAGTTTTGTGCAGCTAATTTTGAATCTCCAGTTTTGGTTGTTGAATCGTTTTTTGCAAAGAGTTCTCCATGGATGGACCCTAGGGAAAAGATTGAGGGGAATAGTAATAAGATTCATGGGGAATCCAACAAGTATGTCGCTCAATCTATTTGGGAAGATCCTCAACTCTCCAGCGCCAAAGAGCGCATTCGCAGATACCTCGCCAGGAGTGAGATTGCACCACCCAAGCATTCGATTTTGCCCACTGATTGCTGCCTGCCAAGTGAAATTCGCCATAGGCTAGCTATCCGAGGTCAGGGTCACTCAGGTTTGTGTCCAACATCAGTTCCTGCAAAGCATCGGCACGATCCCATCTGTTTTGCCACTCATGATGCATGTGGAGTGCTTGACCTTGGAGCATCCAAGACAGTAGTTGGATCCGACCATGTTGGCACTTTGATCCGAAGCCTTGAAGCCAGCGTCCGATCTCAGATCAGCCGTTGCGACTGTCGTATCACTTTTCGATTTGGCAATGAGGCCACCCTCACGAGCACACAGGCCTTGGTGGTTCCTATCGGTAATCTGAAGCTGAAGATAGCCATAGTTCCAGGAGGTACCCCATTTTTAATTAGCAATACCCTTATGCGTGCCATCCATGCCCAAGTAGATTGCCATCAAAGAGTTTTGACCAGTCCACAACTCAGCCATGCCATTCCGCTGGAGTTGACACCCAAGGGTTTGTTTTTGCTAGACCTGAATGAGCTTGTGAAAGCCTCGCGATCCGTGCAGAGCCCAGTTCCCCAGCCAACGAAGCTTGCAGAGGAGACTTTCATGGCCTGTGAAAATGTTGCCGCACCGCCAGATCAGGGTTTTAGCCTGAAACCGTTGACAGAATCATCCCCAAAGACAGCCGAAAATCAGCATCCGCTGAAGCCACATGAAAACATGTCATCGCATGACCACCTGCATGCAGAGTCAAAGTCACATGAGATGATGAAAATTGATACCAACCACGCCACAGATCAGTCTGGATCTGAATCGATTTCATGCAGTGAACCATCGGCCCAAAGCCCAGTTCAAGAGCAACCACCGCCGTGCGTGTACAGTGCTGAGGGAGACCATGTCGCTTCTCTCCCGTCTTCGAGCGTTGCAGCAGGAAGACCCAGTGCCACTGACCAGTTTGGACGACTTGACGCTGGACGATCTGATGAACGAGAAAGTTCAGTTCGGACAAAAGCATTTGGGCCACACGCACATGGAGGCATGGCAGGATCAACCTTGGATCACATACATGATCACTCACTACGGCAAGAGCCAGACTCCGGCTCACCGCCGACTGCTCCGATTTGTGGAGTTGATGATCGAGCACCACGAGAAGGACCAGGTGATCATCCCGGTTCGACCTCCCCAAGAATCCGTGGCTGGGTATGCAGGGACTTCCGGCCGTTCTGGAAGCGTGTTTCCCCAGTCCAAGATGAAGGCCCGGCCATCCGGCCAAACTCAAGCCATCTCCTTGGACGACGGCACGGAGGAGGAGTTCGAGATGTATGCATCGACGACTATGAACCAGCCCATCACCGAAAACCCGGAGTTCAAGGCCATCCAAGATCGGATGTTGAACCTCGAGAATGCCTTGTCCCGAGTGATCCATCATCTCGAGTCCAAGATCGAGGAGGTGACACAGTAGATCCTGATCCTGAACTGAGAGCAGATCAAGTAGCCGAAACCTGTGTGACGGTTCATGACGACGTCCAGCATCTGTGGACCCTGATAGAAAAGTTTACCAAAGAATTCCAAACAGTCCAAGATCAGTGTCATGCAATCGGAAAGCCATTTGTGTTAGGGGAAATTTTCTGTAGCAGCCAGTCACCCTTAACTCATCAGGTCCACCAACTGGAAGGCCAAGCATTTCGCCATGGCGAAGACCAGGGTGATTTAGCCACAACAGAAGGTCGTCAGAAGCTTTTTCAAAAGATATGCATGCATAATCCCAAACATCTATGGTTTAGCCCGACATGCGGTCCCTGGTCATCCTGGAGTTCCCTAAATGCCAGCCGTTCAATTGGCCATCTGGAAGAATATCAACAAAAACGTCATGACCTTCGATATCAACTAGCTCTTGGAGTAGTGTTGTATAGATATCAGATCCAGCATGGTCGACATTTTCACTGGGAACAGCCACAGCGATCTCTGATGTTCCTCCACCCTGGCTTGAACGAAATACATGAACACACCCGATCATGCATGTTTGATATGTGCGAAGCCGGGCACCTTCGGGATCCAAAAAGTGGAGACTTCATGAAAAAGGGAATGCACATTCTCACCACCCACGAAGAATTGTTTAAACACCTTCATGGTAGAACATGCCGTGGGGACCATAAGCATCAACACTTGGAGGGGACCATCAGCTACAATGGACACATGTTACACAGAACCGCATTCTCAGAAATCTACCCACGAAAGTTTGCTCGTTCAGTAGCCAAAATATTGGTAGGTTCTAAGCACTCATGGCCTTTCAAGTGGCAAGCACGACGACTATTGCATGGCTTAGTCTTTCCAGAGCCGGTGTTGGTGAACCAACAGGTGCGTTCCAACCAATTTGCCAAGAACCGGAATCGACCTGTGTTTCCGCGTTCTCAATTGATCGCTCCAGATGCTGACCCTCCTGAAATGGCGAAACGGAGGCGCCTCGATGGCAAACAAAGCCCAAGACCTAGTCTTGCTGATTGCCAAGAAGTCCTCCAAGAGATTCAAACAAGGGTTCCCAGGGTTGGAAAAATAGATCTCCATGAAAATCAGATCATCCAAAAGCTGCAAGAAATGTTTCCCGATAAGCAAATCATGGCCGTACTTGCATGCAGGGGCACAGATCGCACCTTGGGCCCCCCCAAGAATATCCATAAAGACTCAGCACCATACCGAAAGTCCTTGATGATCCTTCGAAATGATGACAGTGTCAGGTTTGAGAAAGATTGGGAACGATGGTCAGAGCTATCTAATCGACAGTTAATTAGGCCTGCCCATGCCTGTCGACTAAATGTGACTTTGTTTGCCAAAGATCATGAAAGGAGTGCCTCATCGACCTTGCCCATGAGAACTGCTGCAGTCCCAGATATGTCCCAGGGGTCAACAGAATCCCAGCCCGTCATGCCAGAACCGCCGAGCCCTGAGCGGCCCGAAACTTTTGACTCAGAGAACGAAGAAGTCTCTGAACAGCGTACCACGAATCCGGCCTCTGAGACCACAGAAACCACTGTCACACCAAAAGTTCAGCCGTCTGAGAATCCAGGACGTCCCATAGAAGTCAATCGAGTTCAACAGAGCGAGGCCTTCAAATCACTCCCACCATGGGAGCAGACCCAATTGATCCGTATCCATAAAAACTTAGGGCACCCTCCCAATGAAAAGTTGGCCAATGCCTTAAGGCTCCAAGGCCAGAGACCGGAGGTCATTCGGGCTGCTTTGGAACTTCGCTGTACAGTCTGCTCAGCTTGTGCTGCGCCCAAACACCAGAGGCCTGGCAATTTGAAGAACCTGTTGGACTTCAATCACCGAGTGTACATGGATGGAATCAAATGGACCAACAAGACGGGTCAGTCGTTCCAATTTTATCATGTGCTAGATGCCGGAACCCATTTCATGTTGCATTCATAGCACCAGCACACACATCAGGTGATGTTATCCGACTTTTCAGCCAGCACTGGATGAACTGGGCAGGAGCTCCTCAAGAACTTAAGGTAGATTCTGGCACTGAACTCAACAGTCAGGAATTTGCAGAGTTCAACCAGCGTTTTGGCATTCGCTGTGAAACCACCTGCCCGGAGGCACACTGGCAGAATGGGAAGATTGAACGCCATGGGGATTTCATACAACATATGCTCACCAAGATTGATTTGGAACTTGGAATCCAAAACTATACAGATCTGCAGTTGGCCCTCAACCAATGCACTCAGGCCAAAAATAGCTTAAGCAGCCACCAAGGGTACAGCCCCGAGCTCATAGTGTTTGGTAAACAAAGCAGACTTCCCGGATCCGTTTTAAATGATGATGGAATCCCTTCTCATGCATCAGCAATTCAAGAAGAACAGGATATAAGTCCATCGGATTTCAAACAAATGCTCAAACTCCGTGAAGTAGCCCGTCAAGCCTTCCATACAGCAGACAACAGCAATGCCTTGCGGCGTGCCAAGTTGCGACGATCCTGTCCATCACGAGGACAGTTTGTGCCAGGACAGTGGGTCATGATTTGGAGGACCCAAGGTCCAAATCGAAAAGGCTGGATGGGCCCTCAAAGAACCATCATCCAAGAATCAGACCATACTGTTTGGACCTCCCAATCCGGCCGACTGTTCAGAAGTGCACCAGAGAATGTACGACTGGCTTTGCCTGAGGAGGGACACCCTGACAGCTCTGAGCTTCCCGAGGATCTGACACAATTGCAGAATCAGATCCGACGCATGAATCAAGATCCCAACAGCTTACCTCCGATAGATGAAGACACTCCGTTCAATGATTCCAATGTAGAAAATACTCAGTTTCCCGAAGAACCCCAAATTCCCGAGCGTCGAGATAGCCAATCAAGTGAATCGATAGCCCAACCAGATCATGAGCCAGACCTTTCATCAAGACAACTCTCTCCAGTTGTAGACCCTCCGGAAGACTCAGAACAGGAAGATGCACAACCTCTCTTCCTTACCAGCTGTGATGAGCCGAGTGTTCTGAATGACCAAGTGCCTGCCCAATTTGCCTGGCGATGTGAGTATGAGATGACGATCCCAGAGTGTCATCGACATCGGCCACCTTCCCAAAGTGAGGCATGGGCCCTTCTGGTAACCAATGCAAAAAGGCAAAGATCTGAAGTTAGGTTATCCGAACTATCCAATGCAGAACGGATGGAATTTGAGGGAGCCAAACAAGCAGAGGTATCAAACTGGGTTGGCACTGACACCATCAGTAAAATCCTCAAAAACCAAGTGCCCTCAGACCAAATACTCCGGTGTAGATGGATTTTGACTTGGAAACCCATTGATCAGACGGGTGCCGACACAGCAAGTCCGTCACAGAGGACCCACAAAGCAAAGGCCAGAATTGTTGTTCTGGGGTATATGGATCCTAACATCGAAAATATCCCAAGAGATTCCCCAACAATGAGTAAAACGTCACGCATGATGTTGTTGCAAGTCTTGGCCACTCATCGCTGGACAATGGAGTCATTCGATATCAAGGCAGCGTTCTTGCAGGGACAGCCACAGGCGGGGAGACTGATTGCAGTGGATCCAGTGCCCGAACTTAGAAAAGCGTTGAACATGCAACCTCATGAGATCGGTCGTCTCAACAAGGGTGCCTACGGTCTTATCGATGCTCCTTTTCTTTGGTATAGTGCACTGGTGCAAGAACTCATCCGCCTTGGAATGGAAGCCTGCCCTTTTGATCCATGCATCTTTGTGTTGAGAGAAGACTCCAAAGTGCCTGAACACCCCGATGACCAACCAGACCCAAAACATCGAGCAACTGGTAAGATAGTTGGCATCCTTGGTATCCATGTTGATGATGGTATTGGAGGGGGCGGAGAAAAATTCCAAAAGGTTGTCAAACTATTGGAACAAAAATATCCCTTTGGATCCAAAAAGAGTGGAGCTTTCACGTTCACCGGAGTTGACATGACCCAACATGGTGATTATAGTATTGCCTTAAATCAATCCTCCTACGTTCGAAAAATATCCCCTATAAATATTGATCCAAATAGACGCACCCAACCTGAGTTAACCATCACCAATGAAGAACAGGGTTTGTTGCGAGGTTTAGTGGGATCCCTACAGTATGCATCAACAAATACCCGGCCTGACCTGGCAAATCGCCTTTCTGGACTCCAGTCAGCCATCAATTCAGCCACTGTGGAAACTTTGCTGGAAGCCAACCGGTTGCTTCATGAAGCCAAGAGACACCATGACATGACCATCACGATTAAGCCCATTCCTGAAGATCAGTTGCGTTTCATGGTATTTTCCGATGCCTCATTCGCATCCAGCAACAAGTCTCATTCATATGCCGGTAACATAATAGTATGCACCCATGCCGATATCATCAAAAATCATGAATGCCCAATTAGTCCAGTATCCTGGGGTAGTAAAAAGATTCAACGGGTAGTCACGAGTACTCTCTCAGCTGAAACCACCTCACTGGCGACAGCATTGGACCAATTGTCATGGGTTCGATTGTACTGGAAGTGGCTTCATGATCCCTCAACAGCCTGGCATAAGCCCGACGATGCTTTATGTAAAGTAGAGCCTGCCATCTCCGTGAACACCGTGCCTTCCGAAATGGACCTCGCAGTTACAGATTGCAAAAGTTTATATGACTTGATTTCTAGAACTGCTCCTCCAGCTTGTTCGGAGTTCAGAGTTCAATTGGTGGCCAGGTATATCAAGGAAATCCTTCGAGAAAATATCAACCTTCGCTGGGTCCACACAGGAGCACAGCTGGCCGATGCCTTGACAAAGGCCATGGAAGCAAGATTTCTCAGGGAGACCTTAAAACATGGGTTTTACAAACTTCACGATGAATCCGCCACACTCAAAGAAAGAGCCAAAACCAGAGACAGAATACAATGGCTGAAAGGAAATACTTGAGTTTTGATCAACAAAAGAATTTTTGGGAGTGTGATTTTTCCATTTTAACTTCAACTCCAGGTCCAACTTGATCAAAACCATGTGCTTCCAAAGGCACCTTGGCTCGAGGCGAGCCAGTGGAGGGTTGGGCAGAGGTAACGTGCCCTGTGAGCCATTTGCCTGCGTGTGACAGGGTCACACTCCTTGGATCAGGGAATCCTTGTGCTTGGCTATCCAGCCTTTCTGTTTTGCCTGGCGTGGACATCCATCATAGACCTCCTGCGACATCTGGGAAAAGGGGCAGCCGACCGTTTTTCCTGTGACTGACAGATTGGTTTGAAACATTCGAGACATCAGCAGCTTTCATCCTTTTCCATTGATTTCAGGTTCACTGACTCCTAGTGTGCTGCCAATCATAAAAAATATATATATACATTAATATGCATATATTTGTACATCTCCAGGGACAATAGGAGAGTCGGCTGTCTGACCGAGGACTTGATTTCCAAAGGGGTGCAAGGATGGAAAATTCCAAAGGGATGCAAGGATGGAACGTGAAGCCATGGCTGAAAGCAACCAGAGACTCAAAAGAAAAATAAGCCCGAGCAAGCGGAAGATGGGTTTGTCTGAAAATAAGGTATCTCCAAATTTGATGGTTTATCACGTTGACCATTAAACCTGCCATTTGGAGTGTAACCCAATTGAGTGTGGTCAAATTGTGTGTGAGTAAGTTGTGGGAGCAAGTTGCGTGTGGTCAAGTTGTGTGCGCAAGTTGCGTGTGGTCAAGTTGTGTGTGAGCAAGTTGTGTGTGGTCAAGTTGTGTGTGAGTAAGTTGTGTGTGGGTAAGTTGTGTGTGGACAAGTTGTGTGTGAGCAAGTTGATTGTGGTCAAGTTGTGTGGTGGCAAGTTGTGTGTGAATAAGTTGTGTGTGTGGTCAAGTTGTGTGAGCGTGAATATGTTGTGTGTGAGTAAGTTGTGTGGTCAAGTTGTGCGTGAGTAAGTTGTGTGTTGACAAGTTGTATGTGATGAGTGGGCGGGCGGCGGGCGGGCGGCGGCGGACGGCGGGCAGAGGCGGAGGGAGGAGGCGGGAGTGCACAACCAAAAACAAGAACCCCACACAAAGATGTGGGGAAACAAAAAAAATATAATAATATTAATAACTATATATATATATATATATTCCCGCAAAGCACCCCGCTTGGCGCCGTCTTCATCCCCATCCCCATTTTTCGGGCCGCGAAGATCCGCCCCGCGAAGATCGCCTTCTTCTTGGACTTTTTGGGTTTGCCCATTTTCTTCACCGAACTTAGGATCAACTTCTCGAGGCGGTCGAACCTGGCTTCCAAGATCAGTCAGACACCGGGTCCTTGATCTGAGGAAAAACATCATAAATATGGAATGTGGTGTTTTGAAGGAACATCTGTTGTGGAATGTAGTATTGATATGTATCTATACCTATTTCTATGGTCGTAATAATGTTGAGAAGTACTGTACCTGAAAGGGGGGTTCAAGGTAGATCGTTGTATTGTTCGACATTGGCACTCTTTTGGACCCTACATCGAAACTTGCAGTTGTAGACCGGTGTAGATCACATTTCCCAGGAAGTCGCACGATTCTGTTGGAAGTGAGCTAAACCATGGAGAACAACTGGCAAAGGTAAAATTCAATTCCCAGGTGTGCCCTCAGCCCCTCACTGCCCTTTTGCTCTTATCCCCATGACGTCGGTGCATGTGTCCTATAATATGTAAGCGCTCAGATTGAACAAATCCGATTCTTGTGTATAATCATATTTCAAAACAATCAGGTTTTTGCAATACAGACATCTATGAAACAATTCACTTCTCCATAGTTTGGGCCCAACTAACAGTTATAAATGGAACGAAATAACTCCTATGACTAAGGTTATATATCAGTATAAACCCATGGGCCATAACTGCATTCAACTTCAACCAATCTCGCGACTCGTGAGCTGATTAGGAAATGATCTGCACATGGTAGGTTTTCATGGGTTTTCCGGATCGGTCGTTTACCCTAAATATGGACATATATCTACCAAAAAAATACAGGCTATCTACAAGAATACAGGTCTAAAAATAACAATATTTTAAAAATCTACATATATCCATCTACATAGATCCCAAATACCAACGAATTATAGATGGATCCCTAAATAAAGTTTGCAAACAAAACATGATGGACACTAACTAGTGGATTATCATAATCCTCATATGCCCATCACTTAGTCAAAACACCTGGGCATTGCGTCTTGGGTCCTTGGATTAGCATCCCAGGTCAGGAGTCATCAATGTGAATATGTATATATCTATAGCAGTATATGTGTATGTAAAATAAATACCAAACTGCTATAACAACATGTTAGTATGTTCAATAACTATATATATATATACAACATTGGAAAATATTTCAATAAACACACAAAATAACATGCACTATAATGTAATATGATATAGTAAAGCATCATGTCATGTAATATTATTAAACAAACATATGATGTGAAATTACATGATAATAAAATCACACATCATACAATATAAAAAACAGCATACTATAATATGATGGAAAACATACAGTATAAAATAATAAAATACACTATAATAAAATATAATATGGCAATTAATAAATGATAATATACTATAAAAAACATTGTAATGATATAAGATAAACATGTAGTATACCATAGACCAGAATACATACATAATATAACACAACATAACTTCGTATAATATGATATAATATAATATTGATACACTAAAGCAATATTGTTTCTTATTAAAATATAATACAATCTAAAATTTAAAACAATATAGCATATGACAATATAACAAAAACACATCATATAATACAGTATAAAAAATGACAAATACATAATATAATATCATATTATAAATATACTACAATACTAAATAAGAACATAACACATAATACAAACCTATATAATTTATAACAAGGCAATGTCATATGATATAGTAATACAGCATAATTAATCAAAAATGAGCATATAGTGTATACTAATGTTTTTTCCAGGTCTGAAAACGGTCTAATGGACTATTATCATAGCCTAATGGTTGATTATCATTTCCCTTTGAAAAATTGGCCGTACTATGGCCATTAAAAAATATGGTACCTGGGAGATCATCCAATTTAGAACTTGGGTGGGGATATAAGCCACTTATACCCTCTGGCAAACTAACATAGCTATTGAAAATGGCCATAGAAATAGTGGATTTACCCATTAAAAAATGTGATTTTCCATAGCTATGTTAGTTTACCAGAGGGTAAATACTTTGGGGACTTATAGCATATCCTAGTTTCAAACAAAGCCATATGGAGGTGTCCCGAAATGGGGAAATACCCCCATATCATCCTGTCACCGGACCATGACTTAGCATTGAACCCATGGTGACGGCTGGGGCCCTCATTTTAAGAAATCCCCATACAAGCTGGTGCCCCAGTTCGTTAGCTAAGTTGGTAAACATAACTCCAAGTTCACAATGGTTTAGGATACGCAAAGAACTATACTTACATTATGTAGTAGGGTTTATAAACCAACAAACATAACTGTTGGGCACATAAATTTGATTTAATCACCCTTAAAAAACCATCAAATCACAATGCCCATGGTGACGACTGGGGATCCCTCATGACTTGGCCTGTCTTCCATGGAATCGTCCTCCTCCGGCCAGGGCATGGCGACGGCACTGGAACCTCGGACGCCAAGCTGGGGAAATCATAGGGACATAGTTGGGAAATCATTGGGAAATCATGAGCTTTTTGGGGATCATCACAATGGTTTTTGGGAGAATCTTGAAGAATCTTGGAATATGTTTGTTTGAGAGAACATCAGAAACCATGGATTGTGGATCATATGGCCCAAATGCATAAGGGGGTCGAAGCGTAAAGAAACCCTACAACCAATTCTGGAAAGCCCATTAGTTGCTCTGTTTGGGAGATTTTTTTGCTTCTGATCTGCTTGAGTAGTCCCAAAGCCAAGAAACTTGTTAAATTTCCATAAACCAGGCTTTGGGTCGATTCTCAACTCGCTTGTGGTGAGATCCTCTTTCGAATAGGCCAGTACTAAACCCACAGTTTCTGGTGTATGTTTGTTTTTAGAGGGAGGGAATCAGGCCTTGCTGAAGGTTTTTGCTGAAATATTTGAAGGTTTTGATGAAGAGCCGTGGAATTTTCTTCTGCTGACAGCCATCCCTCATTTTCTGACAAAACCAAAGGGTGATAAAGAGTCTGCCTCTTATGATTCCGATAAAATGATTAAAAAAAAAGGTTTTCACCATCTGTAAGTTTGTAAACTAGGCTAACTGCTGGATTAATGATTTACCGAACTCAGTAGTTAAATGTGGTGACATAACCAACAAACATACAAGGTGGTGCCCCGCAGTTACGTATGTTGCTTGATAAACCCAGTCCACCATATACATTACACACACATATATATATATATATATATGATATCTATACAGACACATATTTCCCGCAGGATCCTCCGTAAACCCACAGCCCTACGGCACCTCCGAAGCGACGGATGGAGTCCGTCGTCACGATGTTCGTCGCCGCCGGTTCCATGATCTGAACACCGCCTGCATGACAGTTACTAATTGAGTAAAATACATACTACCTGTCAGCCATTTGAATGTATCTATCTATCTATCTATCTACCTACCTACCTACCTACCTATCTATCTATCTATCTATCTATCTCTCTATACGGGCTACGTATGGGATTTAAAAATATATATATATATATATATGTTAGAAATAAGTTACACGTATAACATATGTGGGAGATATGATGCTATGTACATATATATATATATATACGGCCCAGCGATGCCCGGCTGTTGGTCCTCCCAGATGGTGGTCCCTGTACATGATATTTACAAGATCATAGAAGTATGTGTGTCTGTATCTATATGTATCTAAATCTAAATATTGTTTTTTTTAATATATATATGTATATATGTAAGTAGTGTAAATATATATATATATATATACATATTGGTGTGTATGTATCAGTATATGTCTATGTCTATGTGTGCCTCCCCTGTGGATGTGGTGGGGGGTGGGGAGTGGTGGGGGGTAACCCGATACCATAAGGGGGGGCCGCGAACACGCGACACAGGACCATATGACCATATGTATATATATATATATGTATGTATGTATGTATGTATTTAATTATATGTATATATACATATTCAAATACATATTCATGGGTTATAAAACGGCTATGTATATATATATATATATACATTACGTATATGGGTTAGATATGGTTATATAGATATGTGGTTATAAAAAGGTTTTTATATAGGTTCTAAAATGCTATATTGATAAATACAGTGGTTGTATACGGGCTACATATATCTCTGTATAGATATATGCATATTATGTATATATATATATATACAGGTACACGATATATATATATATATATATATATGTGTGTGTGTGCGCGGCTGTCAAAACTCCTTGTCCCTGAAATAGACATCAGCATAATTTGGAAAGGTCCCATTGCTAACCACAGTTTCTTAGCAATTTTAACATCATTGTGTCATATTGATTTACAATGGGCATCGCTAAGGCTAAAGGCAGCTAAAGTAGATATGATATTGTATTTGTAGTACTAGTCATGCTCGTGTGCGCTACTAGTATTCATTATACTAAGATATTGGGAGTACTAGAAGCGCTAGCAGCGCTAGTAAGAGTAAAAGTAGTTTTAAGAAATTAGAAGCAGTAGAAATATTAGCAACGCTAGTAACACAATCCTGGTGATAGCAGCAAGAAAGCAAATAATCGTACTAGTAGTCAAACAATAGTAGTAGTAGTAGTAGTAGTAGTAGTAGTAGTAGTAGTAGGTAGTAGGTAGTAGGTAGTAGGTAGTAGGTAGTAGGTAGTAGGTAGTAGGTAGAGTAGGTAGTAGGTAGTAGGTAGTAGGTAGTAGTAGGTGGTAGTAGGTGGTAGTAGTAGTAGTAGTAGTAGTAGTTGTAGTTGTAGTTGTAGTAGTAGTAGTAGCAGTAGTGGTAGTAGCAGTAGTAGTAGTAGTAGAAGTAGTGGTAGTAGTAGTAGTAGTAGAAGTAGTGGTAGTAGTAGTAGTAGTAGTAGTGGTGGTAGTCGTAGTGGTAGTGGTAGTGGTAGCGGTAGTGGTAGAGGTAGTAGTGGTAGAGGTAGTAGTGGTGACTGGAATATGATGGTCCCAATTGTATACTGTTGTATCTATTGTCCACTTGCTAGTGAAAATAACAATAACCCAACAACCAGGAGACCATCCCTACTCGGCGTGATTACTTCCAAGGGGACATGAGCCTTTGATGCACCGTAGCGGGTCAAAACAGCAGCAGTGGCTGATTGGTCCTCAACTTCACCTGGATCATTCCTATACCGTGGATGACGACGATATGTTAAGCGTTGATTAAATCGAAGCAGCCAGTGGGCTTGAATTCCTGCTGACACTCAGTGACACCCTCCCTTTATCATGGGTTCATGGGATTCTGCAATTCTGAGAATTTCCATGGTCATTTGTCCAGCTCTTGAGTTCTTGCCAGGTCCTTCCATTTGCCGCGGCCATTGTTGCCCAAAGGGGCCCCTTGCAGCCACCGTGGCGTTGTGACCGGAAAATGGCCGTCGTGTTGGCCTTGCTATGAGTTTGCCGGCAGTCGGCATCACATTTCGATTGAGGATAGGAAACATCATTTCATTGGTCATTTTGACCCTCTGGCTGAACCTTTGGTGTGATTTGAATTCATTGGAAACGCTCCCCAGTGCTACCAATTGCATTGGTAGCGGAGCAGTCTACGCTCCAGCGACTGACTCCTGCCCATTTACGCTACCTGGGCGCTCTGCTGAACTGGTGACTTTGGGGATGTTTTCCAAGGAGAAAAGTGACAGTTATGTCCCTTCATGGGATGGCAGCTCTCGAACATGGAGACGATACTGCAAGGAAGTGGCATGGTTCATGAGTGGAACAAAAGCAAATCAACGACAGTATGCTGCTGCGAAACTGATTACGCGATTAACTGGTGCTGCAAGACTTTTGTCTATGAGTTGGCATAATCGTGACTTCATGGGTGAACAAGGTGTTTCAAAGATGCTACGTTGTTTTGCTTCCTCTCCCTTAGTACGGAGGTCTCTGCCGAATGCTGCATCAACAATGAGTGAATATTTCAATTTTCGAAGGCGACCCAATGAGCCGATTGCGCAGTTTCTGGTGCGCGAAGCTCTTGGGTTCGAGGAGTTTCAAGAGGCCTTGCTGCAATTGAAGGAGGAACGTGATGGTTTGGACCCATCACAACGACAATTCGATCTTCCTGAGATCACTGGCCTAAGTGCAGGCAGTTCTGGAGCCCCAGCACAGGACCATGAACCTTGGTGGAATGGTCGTTGGGGTGAATGGCGTGGTGTGATTCATGGAGATGATGAAGATGATGATGAACCCGTGCAGGGTGATGCAGGTCCTTCTCAGCGGCCTGATGGATATGCCGAAGTGCCTCAAACATCTGACCCAGGTTCTCCAGTGATTGGCCCTTCTGAACAAGCAAGACGACAGAACATGCATGGCTCACCAACTCAGAGCCCTAGTCGAAAAGTTGCCACTCACCGGAAACCACATGGTGCTGAGGATGTTTTGAGCCCCATGGACAGTTTTATTTTGGATGTGATGCGAGGTTGGAGATTACTAGTAGCTGCATGTTTGAGCTCTGATGAATGGCGTGATGTGCTTGCCTCTACAGGTAACAAGTTGGACTATCAAAGCATTGCTGACGCTCTTCAGGTTCTTTGGGATGAACAGCTTGGTAGCGGGAAAAGTCCGACCTTGTCCTCTCCTTCTTCATTTCATCATAACCACTGGGTTGAATCATGGCCTTCTGATGGGAGTGCGTACTATGAGCAACAATACAACTGGCTTGATGATGGATGGAATTCTTCTGATTGGGGTGATTCAAACTACTCAACAGGGGATGCTTTTGCTGCTCATTGGAATGATTCTGGAAGCCCAAGTGGCGATGTTGGTGAAATGGATCCGCCTGATCCTGATGATCCAGCCTTGAAAGAGGCGATGGATGCCGAGCGTTCGGCTGAAGCAATGTTCAATGAGGCAAGACGCACCTGGTCCCAAGCTCAACAAGCTACAGCCTCCTTGCGTCGTGACCGTGGATTTGGCCAACATGCGCATGACTCTGGAAAAGGTAAGGGAAAATGTTTCAACTGTGGGGGAAACCATTATGTTCGAGATTGTCCTGATCGTTTACACCCTGGTCCCCGAAAAGGAGTTGGAAAACATTTATCCCAAGCTGAACTTGATGCGTATTTGTTGAAGGGCAAAGGCAAGGGCAAATTCAAGGGTCTTCATGCAGTAAGTTGGGACGATGGTTGGTATGGGGATAGCTATGAAAACTATGGCATGTTCAAGGGTAAGGGCAAATATGGTAAGAACGTCAAGGGCAAGTACAAACCCTCCTTGAACACCTATGTCATGGACTATGACTACCATTCTGCCTATTGTTTGGAGCTTTTCCCATTAGAGTTGTTTTCAACATCACAACCTTCCACTACGGGTCCTCAACGCTCAGTTCCCCTTGGGTTTGGTATGTTGGATTGTGGTGCAACTGCTTCAGCGGGACCGGAGTCATCCGCAAAGTTGCTGATTTCCAAGTTGCGTGAAATCGATCCTCAAATTGGTGTTCATTTGGATGATTCTCGAAGACCTTATTTTAGGTATGGTTCTGGCCAATGGGGACAATCACTATACCATCTGACCTTGGTTTCAGCGAAAAATCCTGCAAGAACTTTTGAGATGTATACCTTGCCTGACCCCGATGGTTTTGTCTACGGTTGGTCTTCACCTTCACAACTGGTACCCATTCTTGTTGGCATGGATCATTTACAAAAGATCGGTTTGGTTTTGGATTTTTCTGATGGATTTGCACTACATGGTGCTGAACCTGAAGCTGAACCCTATTGCCTGCACAAGAACCCCAAGGGTCACTTCATGATTGACTTGGTGTACTACCTGTGTGGTGTGATCTCCGATGCCGAGGCCATTGACACCTTTGCGGCAACCATGGATGGCGCTTCGCCTCAATCTTCAGGACAGGGATCCTGGTCCTGGTTGGAATTGGGTCCAATGGAGTTAATGGCAGTTTCTCATGCACAAGCTTCAGATTCACAACATGCAGTTCCTTCACATGGTTTTCAATTTCTTTGTGATCGCAGAAAACAATTGTCATCAACAACAAAAGCTGAGAAGTCTCAAGTGAAAGTTGTGACGTTTGAGTCTGCTTCCCATGGGTCCCAAGAGCAAGTCCGTGGCAGCTCCAAAGAGCCCTTCGTTGCCTCTCGAGCACGACCGAGCTCTACCAGCAGATCCTCGAGATCCTCGCAGCCAATCAACATGGCCTTGCAACGGCTCTCACGAGCACAAGACCAATGGCGGCAACGCTTCGGGCACTTGGTCGGATTGTGCAACATGCGGCCTGAGGCTGAGCTACATTCCTCGCCAAGGTACTCCAGCAAAGTACATGACCCAGAATGCCCCGGAGGTCATCACCAATGCCCTGAAGATGCTGAAGGAGCACTTGACCGAGGACCAAAAGCCCAATGCCAGCATGGTGAAGACTTGCATCAGGCTGGTGGAATCTTCGATGGCGATGGAAGCGCACAAGGCCAAGCTGACCTTGATGGAGGCCCACCACCAAAGCCTCAAAGCTCACCTCCAGCTGCTCCTTGCCGCGCCAGTGACCCAGCTATGCGAGGAGGATCAGAACGAGGCCCAGAGTCTGCTGTCAATGCTGACCGGAGACGAAATTGCCAGGCTGAGAGAGATTGCTGCAGAACGAGTTCAAGTGTTTCCCATGTCTCCGCCCGACTCCGAGGTGGAAGTGATCCCATACCCGAAGGCATACATGCCTCCAAGCAATCCATGAAGCCTGCTGATGATGCGAACCGTTTTCATGTTGCTGATCGTTTGGTTGAGACTGATACGAAGATGGTTAGCCTCCCTTGTGATCAACTTCATGGCAACTCCTTTGCTGCGGTGATGAATGCTCAGGACAACAATGAGCCTGAGGATGCGTCTTTAGCTGGGGACTTTGAGCTTTTGCACTTTGTCGAGTCGAAGATGATTGGCAGCTCCTCCAAAAATCACCAAAAACAAAACAAAAAGACTTTTGCGACTTCCAAAAATCCTCAAAAACAAAATAAAAAGCCTTTTGCATCGACCTCTACCAATTCAATGTCGCCACCCCAACATATGGAATGTCTTCGTGAAGAAGGGAATCCTACAGTTGGTGGCTCTGCAAAGTTTTGTGGCCTACCTTTGAAGATTGGCCGTGCTGCAGCATCCTTGATGGCAATGCTGATGCTTCATGCTCAAGTAGGTCTTCAAGGTCTACTACGTGGTGATGAAAGGGTAGATTGCTGGGAGCTCTTTTGTGCACCTGACAGCTGGCTGACCGCTGCCTGTCAATCTGAAGGACTTCGAGCTTCCCGCATCAACCTTCACCAAGGCTATGACTTGTACCAGCCTTCGACCTATGATGAGCTGCGAGAAAGATTCCACCGTGAAAGACCCAAACGTGTCTGGGTTTCAACAAGATGCACATACTGGTGCCCCTGGACTTCTTTGAACTACAGGTCCATTGAGCAAAAGCAGAACTTGGAGAAGTTCCGGCGCAAAGAACGAGCTATGTTCAAGCTGCTCATACCCTTCCTGGTGGAGATGCTCACTGCATACCCTGACACTGAGCTGTTCTGGGAATGGCCTACAAGATGCTATGGCTGGAAAGAATCCTGGCTGGAAACCTTGCAACGTGAGCTTCATCGACTTGACCGTGATTGGCTTTTTGGTCGAATCGATGGTTGCAGGTATGACCTTCGCTCTCAGCTTGGACTTTTGCTGCAGAAGCGATGGACAATTGCCACAAGCTCCAACAGCTTCTTCCAGACCTACCGCAACAAGACCTGCGTGGGCAACCATGACCACGACTATGTGCAGGGATTGGAGACCAGCCGCAGTGCGTACTACCCTTGGAAGATGTGCAAGTCCATTGCACAACACTGGCGCCGAGAACTTTATCCTGAAAAGTGGCTTCATCGACTTCACTCTCCATTACCTCTTCACCTCAACATGGCTGAGCAAGAACACACCTTGCGGTTGGACTTGATGCCGCAGATGCTCCAAGATGAACAACCTTCAGCACAAGATCTTCGCACTTGGCAACTTCAACTTCTGAAGTACCACAAGGCTGCTGGCCACCCCAACAATTACAATTTGGCCAGGATAGTGAAGGACAGTGGTCGAGCCAAGTGGCAAGTTGAAGCTGCTCTCAAACTTCACTGCGATGATTGCCATGCTCTTCAACGAGGCGGTGATTCAAGTGGCAAGATCCCTCCAGCTTCCTTGAGAGCAACACCTTCAGCTTGGGAAATGGTTGGACTTGATGCCTTCGAATGGAATCCACCACACTCTGACAAGAAGTACAAGATACTTGCGTTCATGGACTTTGCGACGCACTTCAAGGTCATCCATGTGGTGAGAGTACGGCATCAACCAACAACAAACTGAATCAGCCCAAGAAGTACTGGATGGACTTTATCAGTGCTGGCTGAAAGACAAACCCAAAATGAAGATCTTGGTGCCTGACAATGCACTCACTATGAGAGGTGACCTGATGCGCTCATTTCTTTCTGACGTGGGCATCCAACTGGAAGTGCCACCCGTGAAGGAGAGTTGGAGTCATGGCATTATGGAGCGATGTGTCCAAGAGATCAAAACGGTTGCCTCCAAACTGACCTTGTCTCATCCTGAGATGTCTGTTCAAAATGTATTGGCCTTGACCACAATGGCTTTGAACTCAACCGAAACGGTGCGTGGATTTTCACCGTATCAATGGGTCTATGGCCAAAAGTTCACCTTGGATGATGAAGATGAGCGGGCTATGGCTCAACTGACGCCATCAACCGCTGCTTTGGACTTTACGCAGCTGATGGTGAATCGCCGCGAAGCTGAGGCGATGGCTCGTCAAGTTCATGCGCAACGAGTCTTGGTGAAACTCAAGAACAGCAAAGTCAGGCAACCTCTCCAGGTCTTCAAGCCCATGGACTTAGTGAAGATTTGGAGAAAATACTCCGCTGATGGTGGTCCCCGTGGCGGTCTAAAAAAGATCAGCCGACCTCAATGGCTTGGTCCTGGACGTGTGGTGTTTCATGAAGTCATCCATGGACAACATGAAGGTGATGAGCGTAGGCACATTGTCTGGGTCATCGTTGGTGGCTCTATGCATCGATGTTCAGTTCATAGTGTGCGAAAAGTCAATGAAAGAGAACGTTTGGAATATGAGCTTCACAACCCTGAAGATCCTGCTCAATGGCAGAGCCTAGCTGATATGATTCCAAACCGTTCCTACATCGATGTCACCAACGAGGAGCCTGACGAGAACGAGGAAGAGGGTCCACATCTTCCCCTTCAACCTGATGCTGACACCATGAAAATGCCTGAGTATGTGCCCAAAACGCGACACACCACGAAGTCTGGACCCAAGTGGCATCAAGTTTTTCCACCACCTGCTGAGCCCATGCCTTCCATTTTGGAAGAATTGCCACCAGTGCCACCTGACACTGCACTGGATGAAAACGATGTGGTCCCATCACCTTCTACTCCAGCTGATGATCCTTTGAATGATTATGGTGATCCCACATACGTTCCTGATAGCGATGAAGATGTTGGCAACACTGGCATAGGCAGTGGCCGTGGTGATAGTGATGCTCCGGATGATGGCCTTTCTCAACAACAACCTCTTCTACAACCCCGAGCTTCTTCTGACAAACCACCTCCTTCAAATGAGCCTGAATCCAAAAGACAGCGTGTTGAAGATGAAGAACAAGCACTCTACAACTGTTTTATGGAAGTGGAGGAGTGCTACATGCTTTCTGTAGAGTTGGATGTGACCTCTCAACGCCAAAAACAACAGTTTGTCAAACATCCAAGCCTCTTTTTGGCACAAAAGATGCGAGATTGCGAAGTCAGGTTGACCCGCCTGAAACCTGAACATCGCGAACTTTTCGACCGTGCCAAGACCAAGGAAGTGAACTCCTTCATCTCCAATGCTGCAGTCCGCAGATGCTTGGATTTAGCTGAAGAGAATGAAGCAAAGAACTCTGGCAGATTGATGCGCTGCCGCTGGGTGTTGACATGGAAACCAACACCAGAAGAGTCGCTTGATGAGGCTCGACAAGAAGTTTCAGAACGCCCTGATAGCACCACTTTGACAGCTGATGCCCGCCGAAAGGCGAAAGCCAGAATCGTTTTGCTGGGATATGAACATCCCGACCTGCTGACCGAAGCTCATAAGACCAGTTCTCCTGTGCAAGCGGTGCTGACTCGCAACCTCAGCTACCAGCTTGTCATGCAAATGGGATGGAACATAGAAGGCATTGACATGAGCACAGCCTTCCTTCAAACTCTTCCCACTGAAGAGGAAAAGAGATTGTGGACTTCAGGAGTGAAAGAACTTAGAGAAGCACTTCAAATTCCTGAAGGTGGTGTCATGCGAATCCTCAAGAACTTTTACGGCAGTACAACTGCTCCTCACAATCTCTGGGAGAATGTCAACCAGTCAATGCTTGAGCTTGGTGGCACTCGTATCAAGGGTGACAAATGTTTCTGGCTGTGGACTGAAAAGGTTCAAGATGAAAATGGTGATGTTTTGACTCGTCCTCTTGGTTTCATGGCAGGCCATGTGGACGACTTCCACCGCGCTGGCAATGAAAACAGCGCTGCCTGGAAGCAGATCAAGCAGTCCATTGATCAGCGCTACAAGTGGGGCAGCGTGAAACTGAATGCCTACCGACATGCTGGCACTGATTTGGAGATTGTGAATGATGCAACCCTTGGCCGTTGTTTAGTTGTGGATCAATCATACTATGTGGAGACTCTGCAAGATATTGATATCATACCAGAACGTTTCTGCCAAGGTGATGCAACTATGACTCCGAAGGAGATCAGCGCTTGCAGAACTTCTCTGGGAGCTTTGCAGTGGCTTGCGGTGCAAACACAACCTTTGATTTGCGCGCGTTGCAACTTGCTGATCACCGAACTTGCAGGTTCACCGGTGATGCGCACTGCCCAGGAGATCCAAGAGCTGGTGCGTGAGCTTCGCAAGCATAGCACTCAGCTCAAGTTCTTCAAGCTGCCACATGTCAAGACTTGGAAAGATGTTTGTGTTGTTGGTTTGGGGGATCAAGCCCATAATAATAGGCCTAGAGGGGGTTCTACTGGTGGTATGCTTGTTTTCCTTGCTGGCCCTGAAATAGCTATGGGTAAGCCAAACCCAATGGTTTTAGTTGCCTGGAAAAGCTGGAAACTCAAGCGCGTGGCCATCTCTTCAAATGATGCGGAAGTGCAAGCCTTGGTCGAGACTGAAGATGCGGTCTACCGCACCCGGCTACTTTGGGCTGAACTGAATGGCGCTGGCAAGCTTTCTGAGAGCCGCGATTTGCTGACAGCATCCGTAGCTGAAGTTCGTTTAGTGCCTGGACTTCTTGGTACAGATAGCCGTGGTGGCTATGATAGCATAATAATTAATGAGTCACCACTGTTAGGACTTTCCAACATTCGTGCCGCCTTGCAAGCTGAACAGCTCAAGCAGTCACTGCCAGACTGTGGCACGAAGCTGATTTGGTTAGCTAGTGATTGGAATTTGTCTGATGGCTTAACCAAGAAGAAGCCTGAATGCCGCGAAAGCTTGGCATACTTCATGAAGCATCGCCGATGGATGCTGAAATTCGATCCCGAGTTCATAGTGAGCTCCAGGAAGCAGAAAGCTGTGAGTGGATCTCCAGCGATGCAACTTGCAGGAACCAGCAAGAACTCAGAAGAATTTTTGGGTCCATGCAATTCTGAGAATTTTCATGGTCATTTGTCCAGCTCTTGAGTTCTTGCCAGGTCCTTCCATTTGCCGCGGCCATTGTTGCCCAAAGGGGCCCCTTGCAGCCACCGTGGCGTTGTGACCGGAAAATGGCCGTCGTGTTGGCCTTGCTATGAGTTTGCCGGCAGTCGGCATCACATTTCGATTGAGGATAGGAAACATCATTTCATTGGTCATTTTGATCCTCTGGCTGAACCTTTGGTGTGATTTGAATTCATTGGAAACGCTCCCCAGTGCTACCAATTGCAGATACCCCTTGATGTGGGTTACGTTGAAGCCAAAGAGCCCCAGACATCCGAAACAGGCCGGGCCTGAGCTCCCTCGGGACCAATCTTGTTACATTCCAAATTCATGTCCCGCACGGAGCTATTGGTCTTCAAGGCTTCCGCGAGAGCCTGAAAGAAACACAAGACATCAAAGATCCGGGTCAGCAACTGCAACAAGTAAAATGAGTAAAGAGACTTGGCGAAGCGAGATGTAAGGGGAACATGGGCAAGGGAGTGAAGGTGGCTCTGAGTGGAGTTAGTGAGGTGGTGAGTTGGAGTGAGTGAGCAGGGCGGAGTGAGGGTGAAGTTTGGTAGAGTGAGTTCGTTGGATTGCTAGAGTTGGATAGAATGAGTGAGTTGGATGGAGTGAATTCAGTGGAGTGAGTTTGATCCTGTGCATTGGACCGAGTTAGATGACTTGAGTTTGGTGGAGTGAGCTTGGATTGAGAGTGCATCAAGTTGGATCGGCTGTGTGAAGGCGAGTTTCCTATTCCCAGGTCCAGCCATGTTCCAAGGCAACATGTTGCACTTCTAGCGCAAAATGATGGCAGATGGCGTGGTCTTGTGGGAAATCAAGCCTCAATCAGCCAGGGGTGTTCAATGGGCGGAACCGGGGTAATCGCTGCCTCCGACATCCCTTGCTACCGCAAGAAGTTGAAGCCGATCTGAAAAGGGTTCAAGTGAAAGCATGCTAAAGAGACTAGGCCTGGACACATCACCAACAACCAAACTGAAATCAAGCAAGCATAAGCAAGCTACATCTACCCAGAGAAAACATGAGAAAACATAATCATACCTGCGATACCTACGATGTGGGTTAAGCCAAAGAGCCCCAGACATCCGAAACAGGCCGGGCCTGAGCTCCCTCGGGACCAATCTTGTTACATTCCAAATTCATGTCCCGCACGGAGCTATTGGTCTTCAAGGCTTCCGCGAGAGCCTGAAAGAAACACAAGACATCAAAGATCCGGGTCAGCAACTGCAACAAGTAAAATTAGTAAAGAGACTTGGCGAAGCGAGATGTAAGGGGAACATGGGCAAGGGAGTGAAGGTGGCTCTGAGTGGAGTTAGTGAGGTGGTGAGTTGGAGTGAGTGAGCAGGGCGGAGTGAGGGTGAAGTTTGGTAGAGTGAGTTCGTTGGATTGCTAGAGTTGGATAGAATGAGTGAGTTGGATGGAGTGAATTCAGTGGAGTGAGTTTGATCCTGTGCATTGGACCGAGTTAGATGACTTGAGTTTGGTGGAGTGAGCTTGGATTGAGAGTGCATCAAGTTGGATCGGTGTGTGAAGGCGAGTTTCCTATTCCCAGGTCCAGCCATGTTCCAAGGCGACAATGCTAATTCACAACATGCCCCTCCACCCACCATTGCGAAGCAACACTCTCTTTTATACAGTTGGCCGGAATGTCGCAGTGCCAGTTAGACCCAGTTTTACTGTGTCCACCCTGGCCTGCAGAGTTTGTGCCCTAATGTAGGGTGGGACTGGGCGGAAAAGGAAATCAGTGCCTTGAGCCAAAATGGCACCACAAGTAGAGGTGCCACTGGCTAAGGTAAGATCCACATCCAGTTTCCCATGCATTGTCACTTCAACACTGCGTGTTATTAAACGACAATGCTAATTCACAACATGCCCCTCCACCCACCATTGCGAAGCAACACTCTCTTTTATACAGTTGGCCGGAATGTCGCAGTGCCAGTTAGACCCAGTTTTACTGTGTCCACCCTGGCCTGCAGAGTTTGTGCCTTTTGACATTCCGACCAACGCCAACTCACCCTCCTGCACGTAGTGCGCGTGAGGAATGGGACGAGGCGGCAGATGAGGTGCTTGAGGCGGAGGAAGAGGAGGACTGGTGGCGGGTTTCAGGAAAACATTTGCCACACTTTAATTTGGAGCGAAACGTTTTAGCCTCCTCCGCGGAGAAATACTTGTGCTCCGTTGTCTCTCTCCCAAAGCGCCATCCGCAGCGTGTACGCCAGGATCTGGGATGTTGATTGACGTCCTTGTCCAAGATCCTGTGAAGCTTGCCCCCTCCGTTCGTGTTTTGTATAAACTCCGAAGCGGAAACGGGGATAGGGAGAAGATCCGCAGCAGCTTCACAGTCTTGGAGCATGTCTTGATCCGGTATGGCAAGGGTTTGCTTGGCCGATTGGGCTTGCAAGATAAGAGCTGATAGCTCCTGTTTTGCCACCTGGATAGACAGTTGTGCTGAGGACTCTTGTGCCAGGTTCTGAAGCTGAGCAAGAGGGGTGTCTTGCACGTAGTGGAGGAAGACGTCGCTACCCCAACGCCCAAATAGCTGGATTCGCCATAGTTCCACGTTTGACATCGCGAGATGCCTCGCGCCCGTCACTCGTGCCGAGTGGCCTGTATAGGCCCTTGCTCCGTTCTGATGTGTTGTGTTGAGATTCAGCTTCTTTGCGATTTCTTGAAATGTATCTGCCCATCCTGTCTTTGATGTTTTGGCGCCCTGTGAGTCTTGGAAGACGTAGTCCTCCGGGTTGTTGATGTCTCGGAGGTGCTCTATCATGATGTGATAAGGGCAGATTGTTTTCTTTGAGAATTCGCAGCTGCACGTATGTGACCTTTCGGCACCTAGGGCTGCTTGGTCTGTTTTGGAGCTCGGGAGTCTCCAGGTGACCTTTCTCATCTCGTGGTTGAAGGAAACGTGGCTTCTCCTGGCACGAGATGCTTCGATTTCCCTTAAAAGCCACCAAGATGCCAGCAGCGTTGACCTGCCTGGGTGCTGTGGTCCTCCTTGACATAGAGGTTGGTGTTCCAGTATCTGGTCAATCTGGTCCAGAGGTAGGCCTGCAGCTTGTTTCGGAGCTCCCCAGGATCTTTTGCAACTTCTGATCGCGGCTCGGGCCGCTTGTTGGAGTTGTTGGGTCCATGGCAATCCGGAAGCGATGTGGATGGACTTGGCCGCGTCCAAATATAGTTCGGACGATCGATAACCAGCCAAATCTAAAGCTCCCATGATTGTGAATATCATGTCTGGTTCCAACGCGAACGGGTCCCTGAAACCCGCTTTTGCTGCCAAGCTTTCCCAAAGGGCCCTCCGAGATTCAGTAGGCCCCTTCGTGGTGGCTGCTGTCATGCCTTCTCGAAGATGTGCCTGACACCTTCGAATGTCTGATATGGCTGACATAGCCAGGGATGCTGATCCTCTGGTATATGGTCTCGGATCGCCTCCCTTTGAAACCAGTGGTGGTTCCAAACGGGAAACCTCGTGATGAGGGTTGGCGACCAAGACATCATTGCCGACGCTCCGAGGAGGAATGCGCAGGGCGAACCCTTCGTGGAGGACTGGTGACGGTCTGGGCTTTGCGACCGGCTGTTGCGGTCTTTCCCAAGGACGGTCACCAAGGTTCCTCTTGAGCCTGGGCATGACTGAGCGTGAGTGAACTCACGAGTCAACAGGGGTACGAGAGCAGGTTCTCAACATCATGTGTCAACACGGTTGAAAGGACCAGCCCGGTATCTACCCTTCCCACTCACCGAAGGCAACTTTTCCCTGGCCACGTGAAGTCACAGGTTATGTTCCTGGATGCGCCAGAAGTCCTCATTGATTCGGACTGGCACCAAGGGAACACCTACCAACGACTCTGGCCACTCTGCTGGGACCGGTGCAAAACGTCTGGATAAGGCGTCCGCCTCCAGGTTTGTAACACCCGGAATGTGCGAGAGCCACGAGATTCTGTACAGACGCAATGCCTGATCCAAAGAAAACTCACGTGCTAGAACATTGAGGTCGGCTGACTTAGCTCTACCTCCTACTATAGTGTACAAAACACCCATGTTGTCCGAGCGTGCTCTGACTTGGGCTCCGTACTCAAGCTTTTGTAACCAGAGACGGAATGCCACCAGCAGCGCTAGCCCTTCCCACAGGGTATTGAATTTCGAGTTGCCAATTTGGGCCTTGAACTTCTCCAGCACTCCTTGGGGAATAGGAGACGAAAAGCACTCCACGGCCTTGTCGTTGATCTTGAGCACTCCTCCAATTCCCCACGGTGAGGCGTCCGTGGTGATGGTGGCCTTGATATCGCTGTAGAAGGCGCTGAGTGTCCTCGCCAGAGGAGCGGGGCTCCCTCGCAGCAGCGCTTCCATCCATCGCAATGCCGGGCGGATTCGCCTGGTGTGGATCAACTTTCCGGAACGCCGGGTGCCGGCTCCGTCATTCATTGATTTCCCCACCGACAGCACCGCCCAGAGCGAGGCTAAGAAGGGCCGCAAGTGCGGTATCAGGCCGGCGATGAACGAGAGGCTGCCTGCGTACGACCTGATCTGTTTGTGACCAGCCACCGGTCTTCGTAGGAATTCTTGGGTGGTCGCTTGAAGTTTCTCCACTTTGTCTTTGGGGATCGTGATGGTCACCTCCCTTTGCTGGTCCGAAACTTCGATGGTGGCGCCAACCCAAGATATTTTCTTTCCGCCTTCTGCCTTCTCCAGCTTGACCGGGAAGCCCGCGATGTTGAACCATAAGAGGATGTTGGTCAGTTCCCGGATGGCCTCGCTCTTGGGGCCTTCCATGACTACTGACGGATCGTCGACGTAGATCTGGATTCCAGACGACGGGGATATGGCTGCTGATGATCTGCCCAGCCATGCTGCGTAGCGACCCCAAATCGTCGGAGAACTTCCTGATCCAAATACCAGCACGTCAAAAATGATGAGCTCCTGGTTCCCTTTGCCGTCTTCCTTGGATGCGACCGTCATGTATTTGTCGTCCCCTGCTGGAACGTTCATGAAGGCGTCCCTGATGTCCACCGCGGCAAGCCATACTTGTGCTCCTTTCCGATGGCTCCGAAGGGCGCTCTCCGCTACATCAAGTAGCTTCGGAAGGAGCACCCGCTCTGCAGGATGGCAGAAGCTGTTGGCCTTGCTCTCTCGCAAGTCCCATATGATTCTGGATTTCTTCTTTCCTGAGGCAGAAAATTTTACCACGACTCCCAGGCGGTTGAGGATTGGTTCCCTGCCCAATTCTGCTTTTGCCTCCTCCATGGTCTTCACCTTGTGGCAGAAACCGCGGGCAGTGTAATCCTCGATGAGCTGGTTAAGATCTTCTCTTTCTTCCACTGCTGACTTGTAGTTCTCCCAATTGGTGAGAGGGCGTACGATGGAATGTATCTCCTCTGTGCCGCCCGAGGTGTCTTCGATGATCGGGAATATTCCCGTAGTTTCGATTCTTTGAGAGAATCCCAGTGGTGCGCCGTGATCCAACCAGCGAGCGAGGGTGCCTGAGTCTGGATCTCCGACCGCTTGCCCCCAAGCTTCGATGACACTGGCTTGTATGGGAGTGGTGGCTCTCGCCGTCCTCGTCCTTTGTTCGATTGACCCGCCCAACATCTGTATCAGGGTCTTGCGGACGGCGGCAACCATCTCCGGGCTCGGCTCCTGAGGAACGTCTCCTGAAAGGATTGCGTCTGCTGCCTGTGTAAGTTCTGGCCACAGTGATTGGGCTTTGTAGAGGAGTTCCCGAACCTGCCAGGCCGGGTTTCTAACCTTCGGCATTCTCAGGATAGACTTTGCTGGGTTGCGCATGCCACCCAATGCCAGCCGGTTCTGCCTCTCCCTATCCGTAGGACTCAGGAAGGAGGCTACCAGCGGTATGAGAGGGGGGTCTTCTCAGAGGGGCTCCTGATGGAGCTCCCTCTCCAGCCAGCCTTCGTCTGCCGTGTCGTGGAACGCCATGGCGATGATGCCGCACAGGTCCTCGGTATACTCCCCCTGGGATACCGATGCACGTTCACGACCTTTTGGGCCGTCCACCCATTTCTGCACTGTAGATCCGTGTGCTGACATGTAAGTGGAGCCGTCGGGTCGTTTGTGCTCCGTCTTGGGATGGTTGCATCTCTTCCCATCTAAGCTGTTGAAATCCAGCCTCTTCACCATGAACCTGGTCGGCTTTGTAGTTGGAAGATTCGTGCGGCATTGATCGAACTCCACTATCTGGACTCCTCTGAGTTCTGCCAGCTTCTTGAACAATGGCATGTACCATATCTGAGGCTTGTCAGGGTGATGTCTGGGGTTTTCAATCCCCCAAGGTTTCTTGGCTCGGTTTTGATAAGCCGCTGCGATGTAGGAGACCTTGACCAACTCGTTCGCTTCTTCCACCTGTTTGAATTCGGCGTCTGTGAGTTGATCCTTCGGCAGGCCCTCGATCGCTTGAATGGACCGAAGGGGCCTAGGCCCTGGCGGGTTCTCTCGCAAGGGCGAGAATGTTCCGCACGGAGTTGCCATCCAAACTGCGTCGAAATACCCCGCCTTGATGTCGCTTGAGATGACTTCCCAAACCGTGCCCTCCAGGACGTCCGTGGGTTTCGGTGACTTTGTATCCACTGAGCAGACTACCCACCCCAACCTCGCTAGGCAATGGCTCAAGTCACCAGGCCTTGACCTACCTGCGAAAAGGATGAGGGCTTTTGGGTTGTCTTGCAGTGGGCCTTCTCTTGCCTGCCAAAATCCATACCTTTTGAATTTGTCGCCGATGTCGATCACATTGCCAAACTTTGGATCGCTCGGCTTGGAAGACGATGACGCTGGCTCGGCCTCTGGTGGTTTCTGGCGGCGCCTCTTGAGGGGAGGCCTTTCGTCCTTGTTCTTTGCGTCGTCCGCTCTTTCTTGAGGCTTCTGCGACTCCATAGGAGGCTTTGCGGCACTTTTGACTGCTGTGCTCTTGCGCTGGACTGCAATCCTTGATCTCTGAGAAGGTGTAGGAGAGGCAGCAGGTGAGCACGGCCTCTTGCTTTTAGGTTGAGGGTTTCCAGCTTTTGGAGCGGCAGAGGATGGACCCTCCCCAGTCCTCTGCCCCTCTGCGGATCAGGCTTTGCGCGGGCATTCCAAGGCCTGGTGTGGCCCCAGGCAAGCCATGCATTGGTGGCTTCTTTGATTCTTGCACCTGCCCTGCGCTTTTGGTCCACCGCACTTGCCGGCGTTGTAGAGCTTGCAAATCTCGATGCCCTTGCGGTTCAAGGTGAAGTTGCCGTCTTCACCCTTTCTGCTTTTGTCTTCACCTGTGAAGCGACGAGCAGCTCGGGCCTTCGTCTTCTTTGAAGGTGACGATGCAGGTTTCGACTCGTCGCCCTCAGGTGTCGCGACTTCCCTCTTGTTTCTTGCCAAGAAGAGGGTGGCCGGCGTTGACAGCTCTCTGCTCCAGAAACTGGAGTCTTTGATGGCCGCTGCAAAACAAGCCGACCAAGGGCTGGCTTCCACGTAGCCATATTGCGGCTCCGATCGGAGTTGTCTCCTCAGCCTTTCCAGCTGTTCTGACCTCATTCGGCTGTCAGCCCTGCTCACGAAGCTCCATGCTTCCTCTCCAAACTGAGTGACCATGCCTCTGATGAACTCGGAGTAGGCATCCAGGCGTTCAGCTTCGCAGGACTCGAGGAGAAGCATCGCTGTACGAAAGCACTTCCAGCATCTGTACCACGAGTGGAAGTCACTCGGGCCAGGGAGCTCCTTGCGAGTCCATTCGCCCGTTGAAACATTCAATTGATACGACATGAATGTTTGTCTGCGGAGCATCCGCAATCCATGAGGTCCGAACACGCTGAAATCAGCGTATGGCGGTGCTTTTGCCGCCAACACTTGAGCGATTGCACTCAGTTGATCTTTGGAGACGTCGGTTTCCGTCGATGGGAAATCTCCGAACTTGGAGCGATACCGCTCGTACATCGTGGCCACTTCTGATTCCTCGAGGCTCTGGATCTCAGCGTCTAGAGTTGGATCCAATATTGAACTGAGCTTGAGCCTTCTCGAGGGAGTGGCTGCGGCGTTTGCCAAAGCACCTCCACCAGCCGGCGGGAAGGGTGCTGGCAAAGGACCAGGAATGGCCGGTCCGACGTCCCCTGGGGAGTCTGGAGTTTTCCCCATGCGCAAGAGGCACACCCTCCGTAAAGATTCAATCCTCGAACCTTCGACCGGGGTAGGTGCCTGAGGTTGCATCGGCGGTTGGCCCACTAGGATCGTGGCAACGACATTGTCCCACGTCGGACGGGGAATCAACGCCACTTCACGAAGCCTCTGCGGATCACCAATAGCCGCCATGAGAGCTGCCCTCAAAGGTCCTTCCAGTCCCGACCAAGCGCAGCAGCCGTCGATGTCCTGAATATTGGCAAGCTCTTCATTGGTCGGGTCCATGATTGATTGCGGGGCCCTCGTGTAGGATCGTGCCAACCCGATTTGTACGAGGTCCCACCGGGGTAGCTGCCCTCCTTTGACGAAGGGTGGTAGGCCGACTCCCTGGTGACGGCCTCAGGCTGTGGGTGCCCAAATTGTGAAAGGCAACCCCAATTGCACGCCTCTTCTGGATGAAGCGTATCGCCCTCCGCACAAGCCGTTCCCAGGGCGGAAGCTGGCGCCCAGTTGTCCTGGCACTCAACGACCTTAGGACGACCCAGACGCGGGTGAAGAGGATGCCGGTGGCTGCTCCAAGCCCAAAGGCAATGGAAAGCAAAGCCACCAGCAGGCGATCTCCGTCGAAGTGCGGCTCGCCGATTCCTTCCCCACCTGCACTGAGCATCCCAAAAGGAAATCAGTGCCTTGAGCCAAAATGGCACCACAAGTAGAGGTGCCACTGGCTAAGGTAAGATCCACATCCAGTTTCCCATGCATTGTCACTTCAACACTGCGTGTTATTAAACAACATGTTGCACTTCTAGCGCAAAATGATGGCAGATGGCGTGGTCTTGTGGGAAATCAAGCCTCAATCAGCCAGGGGTGTTCAATGGGCGGAACCGGGGTAATCGCTGCCTCCGACATCCCTTGCTACCGCAAGAAGTTGAAGCCGATCTGAAAAGGGTTCAAGTGAAAGCATGCTAAAGAGACTAGGCCTGGACACATCACCAACAACCAAACTGAAATCAAGCAAGCTACATCTGTAATCAAGCAAGCAACATCTACCCAGAGAAAACATGAGAAAACATAATCATACCTGCGATACCTACGATGTGGGTTAAGCGAAAGAGCCCAAGACATCCGATACAGGCCAGGCCTGAGCTCCCTCGGGACCGATGTCATTCCATTCCAAATTCATGTCCCGCACGGAGCTATTGATCTTCAAGGCTTCCGCGAGAGCCTGAAAGAAACACAAGACATCAAGATCCGGGTCAGCAACTGCAACAAGTAAAATGAGTAAAGAGACTTGGCTCGCCTCTGACCAAACTAGACCAACCTATGAATCGACATGACACTCACTTGAAGCTGATCTGGAAATGCTTCGAATGAAAGCATGTCAAATAGACTAGGCCTGGACACATCACCAACAACAAAACTGAAATCAAGCAAGCTACATCTACCCAGAGAGAACATCATCATACTTGGGATACCGATTGATATGGGTTACGTCTAAGCCAAAGAGACCAACACATCCGATACAGGCCAGGCCTGAGCTCCCTCGGGACCAATCCGGTTAGATTCCAAATTCATGTCCCGCACGGAGCTATTGATCTTCAAGGCTTCCGCGAGAGCCTGAAAGAAACACAAGACATCAAAGATCCGGGTCAGCAACTGCAACAAGTAAAATCAGTAAAGAGACTTGGCGAAGCGAGATGTAAGGGGAACATGGGCAAGGGAGTGAAGGTGGCTCTGAGTGGAGTTAGTGAGGTGGTGAGTTGGAGTGAGTGAGCAGGGCGGAGTGAGGGTGAAGTTTGGTAGAGTGAGTTCGTTGGATTGCTAGAGTTAGGTAGAATGAGTGGGTGAGTTGGATGGAGTGAATTTAGTGAATTTGATCCTGTGCAGTGGACCGAGTTAGATGACTTGAGTTTGGTGGAGTGAACTTGGATTGAGAGTGCATCAAGTTGGATCGGTGTGTGAAGGCGAGTTTCCTATTCCCAGGTCCAGCCATGTTCCAAGGCAACATGTTGCACTTCTAGCGCAAAATGATGGCAGATGGCGTGGTCTTGTGGGAAATCAAGCCTCAATCAGCCAGGGGTGTTCAATGGGCGGAACCGGGGTAATCGCTGCCTCCGACATCCCTTGCTACCGCAAGAAGTTGAAGCCGATCTGAAAAGGGTTCAAGTGAAAGCATGCTAAAGAGACTAGGCCTGGACACATCACCAACAACCAAACTGAAATCAAGCAAGCTACATCTGTAATCAAGCAAGCAACATCTACCCAGAGAAAACATGAGAAAACATAATCATACCTGCGATACCTACGATGTGGGTTAAGCGAAAGAGCCCAAGACATCCGAAACAGGCCGGGCCTGAGCTCCCTCGGGACCGATGTCATTAAATCCTAAATTCATGTCCCGCACGGAGCTATTGATCTTCAAGGCTTCCGCGAGAGCCTGAAAGAAACACAAGACATCAAGATCCGGGTCAGCAACTGCAACAAGTAAAATGAGTAAAGAGACTTGGCGAAGCGAGATGTAAGGGGAACATGGGCAAGGGAGTGAAGGTGGCTCTGAGTGGAGTTAGTGGTGGTGAATGGTGGTGAGTTGATGGAATGGGCTGGGCGGAGTGAGTTTGGTGGATGAAGTTTGGTAGAGTGAGTTCGTTGGATTGCTAGAGTTGGATAGAATGAGTGAGTTGGATGGAGTGAATTCAGTGGAGTGAGTTTGATCGAGTGCAGTGGACCGAGTTAGATGACTTGAGAGTGGAGAGCGTTGGAAAGTGTGAGGTGGAGTGAGCCGAGCCATGTTCCAAGGTAACATCATGTTACATTTCGAGCTTTACTGTATGTCCAAAATGATAGCTGATGTAGATGGTGTGGTCTCATTGGGGAAATCAAGCCCAAGTCAGCCAGTGTTCAATGGGGGGAACAGGGCCAACCGCTGCCTCCCACATCCCTTGCTACCGTGAGAAGCAACTCCAGCTAGCTACCCGTGATATGCTTCAAATGACTCCAAGAGGAGGTCACCCAGCAATTCAGCGACTTGCCCTTTCTTGTTGTATGGGTGAGAAAGCAATCGTATCAAGCAAGTGGATCAATGATCAAACAATCTGCTGCCTTCACCATGAATCGGCCACTTTCACCGATGCCACCGCTGATTTCAAGCGCCTCCACTTGACGTGATGCCAAAGCCTGCAGGGCGCCAGGTTTTTTGAGGACACGGCAACACTTTTTCCATGCAAGATCACACAGTTGGAATCATTTTAATACCGACATGTCTCGGGCCTTGACTAGGGACGTTGCCTCTTCCTCGCCACATCGAAACCTCCTCACCTTCAAGCTCTTCAGATTTTCGTAGTGTGGGAGCGCATGCGCTAGTGCCAAGATCTCTTGGGCCGGAAGGCCTTCCAACACCAAGTGTTGACATTCGATCACCTTCTCCCTGAAAATCTTCTGTTGCAAAGAGATCACTGCGTCAGCATCCGAGCGATGGGTGAACTTTGCCTGCTCCATTTGCTGCCTGAAATTCTCAGGGATCATAGGCACTCTCCCATTGAGATCAAGGGGTTTCTGGGTTTGAGACTCCGATCTGTCGATGTGTTGATGTTGTGCATTCACTCCTCTCAGAGATGACCATTCGATTTCTGCCATACACCACCCTCGCTGTAAGTATGGAGTTCTGTTGGCTTCCAAGAGCTTCAAGGGCTTCTCTTTCAGAGTCTTGCTGCCTGCATCATACACTCGGACAACAGCTTCTTCATCAGCCATCATGGTTTCCCAAACATGCTCTGGAGTAAGGGTTTCGATCCTGAATGTCAAAGTGCATTCGTGAGCATACATGAGGTGCATGTTGTTCATCGCCTTTCGAAAGCTCTTCTCTTCATGTGAGTTGGTTCTTTCGTATTGGAAGAGCGAGCTGTAATCATAGAAGATCCAAATGTCTGCTTCGAATGCAGCACCGTACAGTCCGGTATGATTGACGATCTGCTGCAATTGGTGCCGACACGGATCTGGATGTTCCCTGGTTTCCCAGGCGTGGGAAATGGAACAAATGATCGCCTCCTGGGTCCCGTTGGCCCAATTTTGCACTTCTTCGTGCGTCACCAACGCACTCTGACGCTCGCCACCGCACGTGAAGGTCTCGGTTTCTGCTTCTTGCCGTCTCGGTAGCGGCCGTTTGGAGAGAACCAAGTCTACCAAGTACCTCAGATTTCTGTAAGGTGCATCATGTCTCATGTCAGACATGAACAGAAACATCTTTTGTCATGAGTTTCTGGCCTCTAGGATCCTCTAGGGTTGAAGCTGGCATTTGTGGCTCGCGTGCTGAATTGTTCAGCTATCTGAACGACTTGCCATCTTCATTTGAAATATCACTGGCTCTGTCGAATATTCACTTACAAGAAGACCAGGAAGACAAAGCATAATTCTTTGCGTGTATATAACATTAATTATATAACCATTGGTCCTGCTTTGGCTGCAATCTAAGGATTCAGTGATCGAGCACTTCCACATGCAAATCTGTACAGCACTGCACAGCACTGCACAGCACTGCTTTACTGTAGAGCACATAGCCACAACGACTGGGGGTCAAACTTGGCTCGTACCAACCGAACATCCGAATCTTGTAGGAATTGGGCGAAAGCCTGTGGATCTTTCAAGCCGTATCGAGCCTTGGGGCAAATTCAATGGCTCCACACGAGGGAATCCTTCAAAGAGAAAAGATAAAGAAACAATTGCTCATATACTCATCTTGACATCGTGCTGGAATGATTGAGCAAGTGCATAGGGTGTACTGTTGAGATCTGTTAAAGCTGGTCTTACATGGACAGAATTCTTCCCCGGTCATGTGCCAACTTCATGACATTTTCTCCACGTGGTACTGCTCGGAACCAGGCTTCTGCGTCGGCCGCTTTGGCAATGGCCTTCGTCAATCAATGAATTTGTGAGACAACCAATCCCCATCCAATATGCCGATATTAGACGGTTCCAAGACCAATAAATGTGGGAATAATTGAATGAATCATATGATACAAATACATACAAATACTACGACCAGACCTACATCATTTAGTCCTAGGTGCATGATGAACTGGTGGCCACAAGTGCAATGGATTCCCTTGTGATATCTCCCTCGGTCAAAAACTAGGGAAGCTCATGGAAGCTCGAAGCATCGCTGCTGAGCTCCCGCGCTTCTCGCACCTGGGAGGCGACATCCTGCCTGGTCACGACTGCGTGGACGGGTTGTTCGCCTTTGCCTCTCTAAATCGACATTGGACACAGGGCAAGGTTGATTCATCTGTCGGAGTGCACCATGCTAAGATGGGAAATGGTTCCCTGCTCAGTCGATTTTGGGTTGTGTTTGTTTGAACCACATGCGACATGTCCTGAAACAGAACTGGCAAAAAGCGAGAAAATAGTTGAGCGAGCATCGGCCATTTTTGCCTTTTCAATCCTTTTCAGCACCTGTAAGGCACCTGTACCACAACTGGGAGCCCTGAGCATCAACTGCTGCCCGCCTAGTTTTCGCTGTACTGGGAATCGAGTCGTCAGCTTCAACCTGACGAGGCCGCCAACGCTGACAAGGTTCCACATCAAAGAAGCATTGATACTCTCAGCCTCTCAGCTCTCTTCCACAAAGAAAAACGAACAAGAAATCAAGAACATCTCTCTCTCTCTCTCTTCCACATGTTCAACTCTGGTTACGGTTGTCAAACCTCGGCAACTGTGGCAGATTGTCAAGCTTATGGTCCATGACTCAGTTGCAGCATCAGAGGAGCTGCGGAGCATTGCGGGGCCTGAGAGTCGCCAAGCTCCAAGAAGTACTTGGACAGTTTCACGATGTCCAGGTGACCTTCACCTCAGCTACGCTGAGCAAAACACCTGGTCTCCTTGACATATCTTGACATGTGTCTGGAAATCGCTCTATGGTTTACTCAGTTTACTCAGTTTACTATGTACCCTCCGAAGACCGCTGCAAGCGGAAAACACCAAAAAAAAGCACCTGCATCTGTGGCATCTATGGGTTGGCGGGTCTACTTGCGTGCAGGGCGCTGTTCCTCGGCAGCTTCCGAAGACTGGCCTTGACCCGTTTGGACATGGCCCGGCAACCATCCAATCGTTCAAGGCTCAGCTGAATACACGGAACGTTCACAGGATGTCACAGTTGGTTCTTTTCTGGAAAGGATATGGTATGGTCTATTGAAAGACAGGTGGTAAAGCAGTGTCTAAAGTCTAAGCATGCGTAAACCAGTTATGTATGGAATGACCAGGATTGGCTTTGCAGCCTTGTGCCAAACTTTAAAGAATGACAACCTCCAAATTCCATCGTGCAGCTCCCACCTGGCCTGGACTTTGTCCTGGCTCAGCTCACTTCCTGCGACGCCAACGTCTTAAAATGTCAACCTGCGGGTCCTAGCATAGACACACCAAGAAGTAATTAGACCCGTATTACAGATTATTACAGTGGATGTTTTCGAATTTCTGCAGAGGTTTAGCTTGGGTCAAAAACATCACAAATATGTCTATATGTTTCTATGTGTTTCTTCTTGTTTCTACTCTTGTTTGGTATGGTTTGGGAGTCTCTGCATGCTGGCTCCACCTGAATGACCTGTTGCCCTGACTGACAGGACGTGGCTTCGATGTGCAAACAGACTTCATCAGGCAGCCAGGCATCCGTTGATCCCCTCGCCACCTTTCGGCTGTTCCAAGCCCGATCCTGCCTCTCATCACTTCTTGCAGCTCTTCCTCTGACAATGCGCCTTTACCGTCCGTGTCGAACTGCTTTAGATAGTCCAGCAATTCCTGCGCAATGTGCAAATTGCAGAGACCATCTCCAAATTGCACATGGTGACAAGGAGTGAGTTGAACCATGTCAAATCTTAATAAATGACAGCAAGCTTGGTGCATCCCTCATGGGTCGTCAGGTTGGCCTGAACTTTCGGAATCAGCTTTCCCAATTCCTCCTGCATGGCAGCTTGATGCAGCTTGCGGGCTGGAAATCCAAGGATCTGACCCCTGTGCATATCCACCAGTGGAGATTGCCTGGGATTTCACCAAGCCTTTCAACAACTTGCCCTGGTTTTTTGGATCTTTGAGTCCTTTGAGTCTTTAAGACACCCAAAAAGAGTTGCTTCACTTCTGAAACATTTGCAAGAGCCACATGAAGCACACTTCAGACTTCTCACATTGTGCAGTACATAAAACTTCATCAAGCACCCCGGTTCATCTCAGTCCTCTATGAAACGGTGAAACATCTTTTGGTCAATGTATTTTGGACCACCGAGACCTGCCAAATGCTTTTTGACCTCATTGCAGCAGGGAGATAGAAACACTTCAACAGTTTATGAACAGACATTGGCACGAGAGGGAAGCAATAGTCTCAAGGCTATTACACAACAGCAGTCATTGCCGTCAAAGAACCTCATCTTCCGTGGGCTTCATCCCAAGAATAGCCATGGCATGTCCAAGTCGTTCCGCGGGAACCCCAGAAGGCTGGGAGAAATATCTGAAGACAGCGTTCGTGGAAGCGATGATGTCGTTGAACATCGTGCTGTAGGCCTTGGCAAATCGATCCCAGACTAGGCGCGTCTGGGGGCTGACATGTCTTCAGATCAACCACAGTGGGAGGCGTCGGAAAAAAACTTTGTTCACAGTTCACATCATTGAATCATACTACACTCGATGCAAGAACCGCAGATCAGAGTTGTCCACTTCATGACTGTGTAGATTCCTTCTTTCTTCAGTAATTAATTGAACCCTCCCAGAATATTCCAGTGTTGCAGCAAGACTGTGCACCTGCCTTAAAATCAGTAAGAAGCATCGAGCATCTATCAGAACCGACGGATCTAGATCTTTTCATGAGAAAAGCCTCTGAGCAAGGACAGATTTGCTCCCGCTTGTACCGTTAAAGCCGAGTCCCCATCCAGCTGGGTATTCTGTATCTCAGGTATCAGTCAAGACCAGCGGGAACTACATTTCGACACCCAGTAGTACTCAGTAGTCCCACTCCTGAGCCTCCAAACTGCTGGGCCACTGGCGCTCTCCTGTCTGCCACCAACAATGAATCATGTCCAGTTTCGAAATATGCAATATGTTGTACGTGTGTGTATGTCAAAGACCTTCCGAAGTTGAATCTATGACCATAGGCATTGTATGGGAATTTTAATCGTGTTCGACATCCACGTGCAAGCTTCCTGGGAACTCTTTCTTTGCCCTGTCGACAAACACTCCATTCATCTCCATTCCACGGGGGGCACGCTGTCCTCAGCAGGGTTGTCTCTGCCTCACAAACGGCAGGCAAAAATCATTGAATTAGCAAATGACATCATGGGAGGCCCTACCACCAGGCCCTCTTAGTGTGACATGATTGGCATTATCCAAAGAATCTTGCGACGATCTGCTTGCGGCGGCGAAGGATTATATGCGAATTGAAGCATGCCGCGTCAAGGTGACAAGATGTGTGAGGGTTGTATGACAAGCTTCCAAAGTCGATTCAAGACTCTGAGATCCTGACATTGTTCAGCATCGGTTGTGCCTGCCTCGGGGAAAAGCAGGAAAGGACACCCCAGACAATTTCATGGGGAATGAAGGACAAACTTTCAACCCACCCATCGAGCCCAAGAGGTCTGGCTGGAAGTCTAAACTGCAAAATTCATTTTGTGTCAGGTCAAATGAAGCAATGAGCGGAAATAGTTTAAGTCTCCTGCCAGACCACAAGAAGGAACCCATTTTTGAAAGACCGCCCAACTGCACCGAATTCAATTATCAATTTTTGGCCAAACTACCTAAAAACAATTGGCTACATGACCAGCCAACGGCTAGAAGCTGAAAGCCAACAAGCTTCAAATCCTCCAGCTCCCGCATGTGCCTCGGCATCAGCTGATACGGCATCCTTGACCACCTTGCAGCGCAGTCACATCCACTGTTTTGGTCCAGTGAACGGAGAAAAGGCTAAACTCAGCATGTGGACATGTGCCAAATGTGCTTGCTTTGATAGTGAAAGAAGTGTCTATAGTCTATATATGGTAAAGTGTCTCACATGGCCGCAAGTGACTGCAATTTTGAGATTCAAGCTGAGCTCAATATTATCTTGAATGAAACGTGCAGAAGTCTAAAGCAACAAAGCTCTAGCCCCTGGTCATTCATGCCTGAATTTCAACTGCTTTGCTATCTGCTTCACTCGCAGATGCTCTCTCTTTCTCTGCCTTGCAACCGACTTGTCAGGCCTTGAAACTACGTGCTGAGAA